TAATTATATAAACGGCTTGCTGTATATTATATTACAATTGTAAATTCGTCTCTGTAATCCAAAAACACACTTTGGTAGACGTATCTTACAGCAATATCTGGTTAGCAAATTATCTTTTATTTTTCATTGGACTACAAATATATTTCGGGTTGGTACAATGTATTCCAACCCCTCTTCAGTGCTATTACAAATAAAAACAAGAAATATTAAAACATGACTATGTTATATTGCATGAAACAAATCAAATCACAAAAAACACTTACATTTTCCAATTTTGTAAATTATAAAAATTGTTTCTTTTTTATCTCAAATTAGGGAGTGGGAGACAAACCGTCCTCATCCCTAATCAATATTTCAACCTAAGATTGTGTATTCCATATTAATATACTTCTAAAAACTCAAACAACTATAATTCCAACAGACAAACTTCTAAAAAATACTCACAATCATATAAAACATTTTTACACTTGGGTGTATAACAGGTGTAGTAAAACCAGTTAACATAGCAAAAACTTAATATACGTATGTAAAACCGTTTGATACACAAACAACATTTACATTATACCAGTATCAGGTTTACAATGAAAAAGTTCTTTTACAAAATAATTTTACAATGTTTAAACAACATCTATACAATCTCAATTTGTTTTAGCGCCATCTATTAACTCATACCAGCGGCAATCAATTTGCATACCTTCTTAGAGATTTATTCAATTATTTTTTTGTTTTCTTATTTCTAAATGCTCTTTAAATTTTCTTTTATAAACATCTTTTTCAAAATGCAGAATTTTTATATTATTTCGGTTAATTTTACAATTATTATTATTTGTATGATCATACCACGGAGAATTACTGTACTTCAATCTGATTGCCGCTTCATGTTCTTTTATTCTATCTTCTAACATGTGCCCTGTTTCACCTATGTACAGTACATATATGGATTCTGACAATCACATTCTCACCTGTATACAATACCAGCTTTTTTAAACAATCTATGTTATTAATACTATTTTTATTAATGTATCTGTATATATTCTGTGAAATTTTATTGGTCAAAGATGGGGCCAAACAAATGTTATAATTTTTAAGGCTATTATTACAATGATCAGTACAGTACTTCTATCTTGCGACAATTTTTGTGATTTTGCCGATATCACCGCATGTAGTCATAGGGTACATTCGTAAAGTCGAACAAGTTAAACGGGAATGACATCATCATTACTTTTATTTAGTTAGACTTTTCAAACGATTGGTTTATAACCAAATGGATGTTTCTAAAATCGAAGATATGAATGTCGTTAGTGCAGCCTTATCTAAAATATTCTTCTTAGATTGCTTCGGGTAAACAGTTATTTCAATCATTTTATCTTTTAATTCACAATTTAAACACTCGAGTATATTTAGAAACATCGATATCTTCGGGGGCGCCATTTTCTTAACGAAGTAAACTATCTCTTTCAGGACATTCCAATTTTCAATGCTGATTCAGCACTGATCTCAACGTTCGTTAAAATTTGTTCCTTTTTTCAATGTTGAGGTAGTGCTGTTGTCAGCACAGACTCAATGCACTCAGCACTCAGCAGATATGTTGACTGCTACTTTGCAATGAATTGTGGATAATTAGTAAGACAATTGAATGGAATCCATCTTGCTGAGAATGGAATTATGGGAACTAAGCACTTAATTAATTAATAGATATTTTCTCAGCAACATGAAGTATTGTGGTGTAGTTTCTTGGTATCATATTTAAAATATCAAAAAGTGATTTGATATACTTTGGAGTGTATTTTATTTTTACTTATAAGAAGTAGCAATTTAAAATTTTGAAAAGTAAAAATAAAATATACACCAAAGTGTATCGAATCACTACTACTTACGTGTACTAAAATGAACAAAATATCTGATATTTATGTTTATTTGCAGGAAACGGCAGTAGTTGGAGGTCAAGCATATTTCATAGGATTAACAATAGATTATTTTGAGAACAGTCAGGAATGGAATCAATACGACGTTTATGTTACAGTTGTAGGATACTTTGCAGTAACTGCAATTTATTTCTGTACAGTAAATATTAGTGCATTTATAACTGAATTCTATGCAATGAAATTAAAGATAGCTCTCTGTACTCTTATATATAGAAAGGTGAGTAAAAAATATAATGTGTTATATGCATTAAATTTATATTATTTTTACGTTAGCGTACTTTATTAAATGTATAGAAGAGATTAAAAACAAATGCAAAGTATTTGTAAAAGGAATGCTTCCAGCAATCCACAGCTTTAGTTTTGTTTCTGCATATTTTTAAAAATATTGCTCGTTATCTAACATGTTACAGTAACATATTTTGGTTATCATTATTTCTTCTAATGTCATCTTTAAGAAACTGTAAAATTTACAGTTGAATATCAAATAGTAATCTGACAATCAATCAAATTTCAGAAAAAAAATTGGCCAAATATGGAGACTGGGCACCCTGAAAATTGCTTAAAACATATTTTCTGCAGACTGGTAATCTTCTATTATATAATTCTCCTATTTGAATGCCACCATACCTCTTGCCTTGTAGAAAAAAGAGAGTGTTGCAAAAGAGGGTCGAAGTAATTCGATCAAAAGTAGTTGTTGACCTTATCCCAGAAGAAAAGACTATGGTCAATGACTACTAATTAAAAGTGGTTTACTGTTAATATTTGAAAACTGATCCGTGTTGAATAGGTTGTGACACACATGATCAAAGTTCCTAACCTTAATGTCCAAAAGACTTCATATATAGCTTGTTTAAATTTTAAAATATCTTGAAAAAATGCAAATATAATTGCTTTTACGTGATCCTATAAAAAACTAACGAACCCAGTTTGAAAAGTACAGCTCAAAATCTCATCTAACTTGTAAGTAAAGAAAACTTTTAAAAGTTGTTGCATATGCATACTTTTACTTTTAGCAGATAGGGGATGAAACCAAGGGTATGCAAAGGTATTACCTGGAGTGAATATGAAGAAGAAAGATGATTTAGAGGAAGAGACTAAAGATGAAATTATAAAGAAGAATAGGAAAGGGGATGAAGCGGAAGTCCCAAGGGCACCTAAATAGTTTTTATTTAATACAAAGTTAAAAATTTACATTCAGTTGTGGAACAGCAGTTAAGAATTACAGAAGTGCCCTAAGTGATGGGCATGCAAACATTTACAATATCCATTGTACTTGCAATAATGGAACCGATAAATTTCCTTATGACAAGGCAATAAACAATACGTACAAGCAGAATACATGCATATTTTACAGAAGTGTCAAAAGCAAGAGACACTCATTGCAACTTGCGATGTGAGACTGACAAGATTAACACAGGGCATAAAACAACGAATATACGCCAAATAAACACCATGCGTTACAAAAAAAATTGACAAAACAAAAGCATGCCAAACTAGGGGTACACGAATGAACATACGAAACATTGCAACTTCCAATTGGGACAAAAAGTCTTCAATAAGGAAGAAAATAAACAGATATATATGTGGAGATCTGAACAGTCCATGTAATTGTAATAATACCCATTATTGATACCTGCATGTAATAATCCCATAGTCAGAATTTAAATGGAAGTCCATCATTTTATTAATATTTTGTTAGATCAATGTAATAAAAGCTACAAAATTGAGACAACATCCTGTCAAAAGCTGACAACACTTTGTAACTTTTATGGAGAAAGGGGAAATCAAACTTCCTTTAACTATCCCTTATCTTGATTTTCTCACACATCTCCACAGTCATCTGAGTCAGGTGGAAAATCCTGTTGGTCATCAGTTCATCCCATGAGATAATGCAAATTGTGGAATGTGATTAGACGAATGTACTAATAAAAAGAGCATATTCCCACTCTTCAGGGCAGCAGTTCATAGAGAAGAGACAGCCATAGAACCTGCCATCTATGTAGCCGCCAAGGTTTATAGATAACGACCTAGTCCATATCGACCAGACTGAATAGCTAGAGGTATTATTTTGAACCTATGTAAACTCTCTCTCAGCTGTTAGAGTTAAGAGGGATCCCGGTTATTTCAGGGATAGATTACTATTTTTTTCATTATTCATAGACTGTATGCCGTTTTGTCATTTATATATTAAATCTATGTGTTTTGTAAAAGGACTCGTTCAATTGATACGGACCCTGGAAGGAACTTACTCGCGACTTTCCTCCCCACTCGCACTTTCAACCATCCAGTGACGAATTAATCATTTTTTATATACGCGTGATAGGGTGCGTAAATTCATCCCTATCTGCTGTCAGTCCTGACAAGATCACGATCATACAATCTTGATCTACATTACTCATAAAAGCCATCCAGTGACGAAGTGAGCAGGATTTACCAGCCGATTAAGTGGTATACCGACATTTATCGTATACTCCCTGCTCCTCACATATATATGGTAATAAAATACAACGCATACTAAACTGGCATTACTACCAATTATGTGAGTCATAGTAACACGAGTGACTTTGATGATGTAATTCGAGTACAACACGAAATATTCGAGACTAAGGGCCCTGGCATAATTTTCAGTTAATAGAAATATTTTTATTTTAATTTAGTCATCAGTAAAAAAGTTTTTGTAATAAAAAAGAGTAAATAATATTAAAATAAAATGAAACTTTATAGCTCCTCTTGGAAAAGCGCATTCCAACACAAAGGGTAGCAGATACCCTAATTGCTCTATGTACTGTACGGGTGCTCCTCCTACCCACCGATTTTAATTCGCTTGGACTTAATGAAATTACCTAAAAATGTGTGTGTGTGTGTGTGTGTGTGTGTATTAATATGCAAATGCAACTTAATGAAATACTTGAGTAAATAATTGAACAGAAAGACATGTAAAACCTAAATGTTTCTAACAAACAGTGACATCTAATGATAGTCGATTTGCAATTATGATAATCATATGCTAGCACACTGTTAAAAATCAGTTCAATCTGTCTTACCTGCCTTTTATCGAATGGAAGTTTTTGGTTATTTTCAAATAAAATTAAGGTCATGTTATAATTTTATTTGAGAACTACAAAAAAGTTCGAATAATTCAAACTACAGTTGTCCCTCTATAGTCCGACGTTTTTTAATCCGACATGCTCAGTAGTCCGACGCACCTCCCATCAAGGTACCCACCACGTTACGTGTCTGCTTGCACAGAAGCATGTCGCGATGTGAATCTCCCCATCCAATTTTTACACGATGACACACATTTCGTGTGTTTTATGTGAGCAGTTCTCTTCGAACAGTTGGAGTAGAGAATATTGTAAGTTACTGCTAGCAAAACAATGCGAAATATGTAATTATTTTTGGTAATCCGGACACTTTTGGTAATCTGACACACCTTTGGTCCCATACCTGTCGGATTATCAAGGGACAACTGTAGTTTTTTTTTTTTTGTTTCCTTGAGTATCGAATTTCTACTGTATCGAGAAGGGTTGGACTTAGTGAAACTTTTCTTGGTTATTAGCATTCACAAACTTAACCTTTTCTCGAAATTACACTTGCCATTGTATAATAATTATAAGTTTGTAAAATCTCATAACAAAATTTATATGATTAAAAATATAAAAGTTATTTTTAAATAAATCTTTTAAAGGCTGGAAATGACACGCGACGTGTTGCTGGAAGAAAATTGTAGTATAATTTATATGTATTATATATACAGTATATGTTTATTTATTAGTTAAAATTGATTCAGTACTTCATGATTTTGTACTAATGTGGCCCTGAAATTTATACAGTAGTTGTGAACCAAATACGAACCTGAGCACTACTTGTGTAAACCGTTATCTTCTTTCTACACGTTTTGTTTGTCTTGTCGGATTATCGAATTATCACTGAACAGCAATGACAATGACTATGCGAAGCGATCGTGTTGAAGAGCTTTAAAAATTTATTTCCAGAATTTATTGACATATATTGTACACAAACCAAGTACTGTACAACACTATCACATCGTCACAGTTGTTATTAAATATCGGCCTGTATGTAGCGTACATTAGGTGGGGACAGTACGGTAAACATAATTTTTCAATACTAATTAATTTAATAAATCGACTGTTAAAATAATAATAATTTATCAAACACGTTCAGTAATTATAACTGACTATACAATCACAACACGTGGAATTAGTCAGAAACGTAATTAGTTCTATAAGCATTTATTTTATGTTGCAAATCTCTACCCACACAAATAACTTCTGTAGTAACTTGATATTAACAAATTATTTGTTGCCATAAAACTAAATGGAGTAAATTGAAAATCCACAATCGGGATTTAAATATACATATAAATTCCCTCTGGTGTCCATCTAAGTGTCTTTCTTTAATTTCGATAATTAAATACATGAAATTCAAAAGCAGATATGGAGTGCTTTGGGAGAGAAGGCCCCATAAACTATATAAGAACTTTCTAAATCAGGTTATTTCAATTTAAATATTTAATACTGTTATAATAATATTAAATATTACGCGGTTACGCGGTTATCGCTCGGTCCCACCTATCGCGTAAGTTCGGGGTATTACTGTATTATTATACATTATTAAATCTATATCTATATCTATCTATATATATATATGGACATGTATGTCCCTATATTTCACTTTTTCGCCAAAACTACACATCGCACGTGAATGGTGTTTGTATGTGGTGGTAGCCCCAAGTCTCCATTCGTGCATAGGGGTGGTTGCGTCTCGATAGCTATAAGGGTGCGGGAGATATGAGGCTGAAAGTGGTTGAAAGTGGCTTTCTATTTCGAATGTTTTGTTCGAATTTGTTCGAATTAAATTCGAACATAAAATTCGAATATTGGTTCGATTATAGAACGATTGTAAACGTTCCAGAAACGTTGAAAATAGTTCGTTTGACTAAACGTAAAAATTCTATAATTAGTCTGGAAACGGGGGACCTAATTCTTGCATTTTGTGAAAACGGGTAAGATTAGCTATACTTCACTATCGTTACTTTTTGCTCAGCGAAGCGGGTCCTTGCAGCTACTATTATATATTATTATAAATTATTAAATATTATTATTTATATATTATAATAAAAAAATAAACTAAAACACTTGCCCTTCGTTATTTCCGAACGAACGGCAACCTAGAAATAACCACAGGGCTGTGTCAGAGTTCCACTGAGAGTTGGAAAGAATGCAACTCCACACGTAATTAACATCATTTGTGTAGGTTTGCAAGTGCTATGCGCTACCTCTCGCAGTAATGGCGTAATGGCGCATGTATTTCGCGTTATATCATTGTCGCAGTAATTCAGTGAATTTAATATATATATTTTAAAATTACATCTTTTTTGTAAGTATTAAATTTAATTAATTATATTATAAAGTTTTTCCAATAGACGGCTTTACATGTAAATACAGCAATTAATCTATACATATAAATTTAATAATCTATAATTTGGAATGGGATGTATGACATTAACGAAGTTGAAAGTATTTGAACTTAACTTCCGATTTTTGAAGCAATTGGATAATGGCAGAGGTGTGTATAGCGAACAAACAAACAATCAATCAACCATTCTCGTTTGTATTAGAAAGTTATTTTTGATTAATTAAAATTGACTTTTTAAAAACGGAAAGTAAAAACAACAAAAATTCAATTGTAAAAGTACAAAAACGAAAAATTATAAATACATAATTTTTAAAATTTTAGAATTAAGAGAAATCGAGTGCAAAAATCGTAATAAGCCTGCATAAAAACACTCGTTGTGACATTTTACTTATTTCCATCAAAGTAATAAAGGCCAAAATATTGTCTCACAATGTTAAATAATAGATTTTTAAATAACTGTTTTTATCCGTTAAATGCCTGCGGTCAGACGTAATTAAAAATTAATCGATTATTTAATCACTTTCCTGTGTGACAAACTAAATTTATCATATTGTTTCATTGAAAAAGAATTAAAAATGTAATCCATTATTTCGTTTGGAGAGTTTCTACTAAGTATTATACAGGAATTTTTCATTAAATCATAATATAATTATCCGAGAATATTTATTTTATAAAAAAAACCTTCCTTTGCAGGCAATTAGATTAAGTCCTTCTTCTCTGAGAAGATCGAGTGTTGGAAAAATGGTAAATCTTCTAGCAAACGATGTAGGCAAATTCCAAAACGTAAGTTTAAAATAATTTTCTACACAATATGTTTAGTGTATATCACTTAATTAAACCCATATATTTTGTCTACATATAGAACTCTGACAATAAACTCGGACAGCGTGCCATTTTAATCAATATCTACTTTATTCTTTAATACGTTTATGATATAGCTATTTTATGATATCCAAAATAATTATACTGAAACTAATATTAATTTTGATCAAATTAATAGTTATTTGTATATATACCATTTTCATTTATTACAGAAACTTGTCTTTTTTTCACTTGTATTTACATCGCCTTTTTTCATTATTACTGCGATAGCCATGTTGTGGAAATATTATGGATGGACTATTTTAATTGGATTCCTAGTCATATTTCTCTATCTTCCTATACAAATTGCTTTGACTAAAGTATATTCAAAATTCAGGTAATTATTATTTTAGATAATATTATTGTAAAATATCTATAAATAAAACAATGAAATTATTCATAATTTACTATCCATTAATATAGATGAAATTCGAATATTTAAGATACATAAATGTTATGTAGTTAATCGAAATTTATGCTACATTAGCTGATGTAAGAGATAGTTTGGTAGCTATGATGTCAGCTTACTGATCTGGAATATTCAGCTCGAATAGATTCGAGAAACCCAGCAATTTTTATAGAATGTGTGTTTTACAAAAGCGTAATGGGGCCAACATACCTATAACAAAGCATTCTGACATATTATGGTCCTGACCGTGTCCATTGTGACTACGCTATGAATAAAAAACATCCTCCTATTGATCATAGGATAGAAAACTCAAACATGAAAATAGTTATCATTAGAAGCAAAAAGAACGTATTTGAAAACATACTTTTTATTTTTTGAGCATTATAATTTTTGTGATATTATACATAAAGCATGTTTGACGTATTATACACAACTGTTAAATGCACATTAATCATGGCGAATGTTTCTTTGGTGTAATAATGTGTCAATTAAGATTTTTGTATGTTTTCCATCCTTTATCAACATTGTATAATCAGACACCTTATCATCAGACTGATAAAAAGCATTTAAAACAAATCAAAAGATATTGCAAAGTGTGCTGCTGTAAAATGTACGGCATTTTCTGCAACATTTAGCTTTCACATCACTTACACATCACTAACTCAGGCTGTTATTTTTTGCCAAAATCAGTAAATTACATGAAAGCATGCAAATACCTGACTTTATATCTGCCTGCATCCAGCCCAAAATTAGTTGCACAAGAAAGTAAAGATATCTCTATGAAGGAACTAATTAAATATATTTGAACTTTAAGTTATATTAATGTTTGGCAAAGGATTTAAAGAAATATGCTTTGATGTTCAATGTTAATTTAATTAAAAGAATTTAAAAACGAACTTTAAAAAACTACTATACATATATCTGGTATAAGAGTATAAGAGCTATATACGATATTATGTGAAAAAATCGGGTAAATCCCGAATTTCTTAACCACTTTGGTAGATCACTGTCGTGTAATTGGCTGTGATATGACATTCCAAGTACAGTGGCACCTCGGTTAACAAGCATGTCGCATTACGACTAATTCGCATAACGAACAAAACAAATTGTGAAAAATGACTCATTTAAGGAGCGAAGTTATGCATAACGTGTGACAAGGAGAAGGGAAGTCTGCGTTTAGCACTCGTTCCACTAGCATCTTAGGGTCGAGTTATAAACTTCGTAACGTAACCGTACCCATATTCGTAAATGTTTGCTATACCTGATATATATGGCAATAGTTCTAAAATACCGTAATGCCGTTTCCGTATCTTTTAAGAAACAAACTTTCATTACGGTTTACGAAGCAGTCTATCGTGAGAATGCGCAAAATTATCGGCTGATGTTGGCAGATCTAACATTATAATTATTTATTCATGTTATCATTTTTCTATTTTTTTATGACCAAAGTAACTCTTATCTTAAAATATTATATTGTTCAGAAATAGCATTTTCAGTCAAAAGATACGTTTCAACCAATTTGTTGTTTCTGGTGCAATTTCGGATTGTCTTGTGACTGACTTAGATGCAGTTCGTCAATTCGCCATATCCCTACAGTAAGTTTGGTCAATCCAAACTCTTCGTACCGAATACGGTACGGCCATACTATTTTGTTACGGAGTTTATAACTCTACCCTTATTGTCGCTGTGATCACACGTTTTTCCAAACTTATGTTCGGACATATTACATATAAGCATCAAAAACCACAGACCGTTATATAATAAACTTGGCAAACAATATATAAAATTCTTGGGCTATGTAAAGGCTAGAATTAAATACAGTGTAATTTTCTTTGACTACACGTCATAACATAAAATATTTCAGTGTTTATCGGCGTGGAATTTATTATCGTATTTTACATTCATTATATAGGAAAAAAATTCGCTTAACGAGTGTTTCGTATTCGTTAACGAGTAAGATTCTAAAACGAATTATTGTCGTTAAGCCAGCTTCCATTGTACTAGTAGAGTACAGGAACGCCATCGTTGCCAAAAAGATCAGAAAAGTGTTAGCATGTAGAAGAAAAAAGCCTTAACATAAAGAAAGCTGAAGAAAGCACACAAATTCTGCAACACTTTATTTTAATGTTTGTGAAAGATGAAAAACTATTATCCCTCATAAACGTTTTCCACCTGCTTCATAAAACACCGTCAAAAGTAAAATACGCCTTATAAATCACAGATTCTCAAAACGAAAATTTTCAAACATTGGAAAATAATATAGATAAAAATCGGAAAACGTACTATAAATTTAAGTAAAATGTACTGTATGCATCACAAAAACAAACAATTGTAGTTAAATGAACGAATATCGGAAAATGAATAATCCAATGGCAATAATGAAAATTTCAACCTTGTTCAACCTTGGTCAAATTATGAGTCATCGAACTTTCGTCTTCTCTTTTAAGAATATGTTGTACTTTCGAAGTCGTTCACAAGTCGTCAGCATCTATGGCGTTCAGAAATTTATTTATTAACCTGCTTTTGTAAATTCCAATCTTATCTGTGTTTATTGCTAAAGATCATGAGTGTATAGTATCAATGATGTCCGCTTCCACGCATGTTACTACCGAGCTTTTTATTTCTGCTATCCTAGATATTAAAATGCCGTGCAATTTTGTCCTTTTTCGATATTCTATCTTAGTTTTTATTTTTACAGGACGTTACTACAGTAGAGCGTCGATTTTCCGAATCAATTGGGGACTGGGGTTGTCCGGATAACTGATATTTCGGATAACTGATTTACGTACGAAAAAATAGTATAACGTATCTGATGTCGAAATTTTTATCCGTTGCGTGTCGCTTCGCGTTGAATTTTCGTCGATGTTAAGCCTAACAAAGACTATTGTATCGTTAAAAATTATTTTTTTATTTTGTACAAACAAAATAAATATATTGAAAAATATAAAAATAATAAAAAATTATACTTTAGATGTTAATTTAGTATCAAAATCGTAAAATATTTGAGCCAAAACATAGCCAAAGATTGAAGCGCCACAGCATTGGCGAAAATTTAAATTTGCCGACTGGAATTCTTTCGGATGATTGAGGTTTCGGATGATTGACTTTCGGAAAATCGACGCTCTACTGTATTTGTAACAGCGATAAAGTCTTTCTTCAGTCCCAACTGTTCGCTTTCATCTGGTATTCTGTACACTCCTGCCTGTTCATCCTAATATATTTTGTCTTTGTTGTTTATAAAAAATTGTAAATCGTGGTCATATTTATTTAAATTAATCCTTGGTAAGATTGTTTTAATCATTATTGTTTGGATCAGGTTTACGAGACCTGTGTGGATTATAATTGCATTTGTTTCTTTTTGTTATTTGGTTCGTATTGCAGATTTGCCGGTTTACTTTATCTGTCCGAATAGTGAATAATAAAATGACAATTGGTTCATTCGCTTTACTGGAGCATTTCTATATCGCAACGTCATGTAAGATTTAGCAGATTTAGGTCTTAATAACTATCCGAATTTTTTTGGTTTGAAAGTCTGATATCTCTTCTTTTTAAAAATAACTGAACGATTTATCTGTCTGCGCGATAAGTGGATATAATCCTCGAGGAATATCTCTCTGTGTTTGTGCTATTCATTCCTGAGACTCGAGATATGATCAATTCGATCGAAAATTTCTATTGTTGATGTACAGTACCTCGAAAATTTCTACAATAGTTTAACTAATTCGTGCATCTATCATCGTTTTCACAGTTTGTTTTATTTCTTAGTTCCCTTGTTTTTTCTGTATTTGACAGTGTAACATTTACCTCTATATTTGGTTCTATCGTGGTTCTTTCAGAGTTACCTACCGCTTTCACAATTGTTTTATGTTTGTCAGTCAGTTAGTCTATTGTTTTTCATCGCTTATTGCAGCTTATATCGCTTGATCAAATGTGTCAGGTTTTCGGGAGTCACTTGTCTGTTTATTTTGTAATTCTTTCGTCGACAAATTGTATGCACTGTCGTTTGTCTGTCTAACTGTTTTTTCTGACATCGTTGTATGATTGCGGTCTCATTCACATCCTCCTTTGTTCTATCACTATTGATGAGGTTTATGTTTATAAGCTAACTGCATACGTTCGTACATCTTTGTCCTTTGGTTGCATGCAAGTATAAGATCCCTGCGATCTAAGCTAATATGGGTTTTGTTCCAATCTTTGCACCATGAGCTGTTTGAAAACCTGATATTTCTTTACCATCTTTATTCACATGTTTTTGTAAACATTCAAGTCTTTCTGCCTCTGGAAAGATTGTTTTTTCTCTTGTCTTTATCTTTTTTCCTATAAGAACTTTTTAATTTAGCCGTTTTATTTCTGACACCAGTGTCGGTCGTATGGCCTTTATGATCTAAAACTACCAGTTGTTTTATTTTGGCGGCCATTTGAGCTTCCTTTTCGATTTAATGTAAGTTATTACACTGGAAAATTTCTGACACCAAGTAGGTTACACTTACTACTCGAGTTTTGAAACATTTCTGTGGATAGCAATAACACAGTCTTGTATTTAAAAATAGGGGATAGAAGATGAAGTAGGAGATGAGAGATTCAGTTGGAAGAGGTCACTCAGCACTGTTAGCTACACTTAAACGTTTATTAGACAGCACGGAAGTTTGTATAGTACGATACACCTTTACGTAAGAAAAAGTATTTTTGCTTACGCGTGCTATCATCACGGAGAGTAAGCGATTAGAATTTTCAATAACTGAAAAATCCTGGCAAATCGATCCCACAACAGGAAGCAAGGAAAACAATTCATGATGCTTAGAGCCTTGATGTCAGATGATATATCTTGCATCAGTAGCACTCGAGATGAAATGCAGATAAAGCACACAATCGTAAATCCCAATGACAAGGTAGGCACAAAATACTAATCTAAATGGTTAGAAGAAATAGTCATGACTAACTAAAATTGACCGATCTTGGTCGTATTTAAATGTGTAAATTTTTCAGATGTGAATAAAAGTGGAGAGAGAGAGAGGTGTCATAAGGCGTCTCTATCAACACTGAGAAAGCATAATTTGACATTCTCTCAGGTCAGAAAGTTGACATATGCTGGCACCTGATGAGATCATCATCGAATTGTTTTTATTTATCTTGTTTGATGTCATTTTCGAATGAAGTAAACATATTTCCATAGGACTCCCTTCTTCTTTGTTGTTGAAAACAAGGAACAACTAGAAACGCATACAACGTGCTAATTCCTTTATTTTATCTCGATTTGCGGGTGCTTCAGGATTCAAAAAAAGCATAAAATCCATTATGCCTCAAAGCAGACCATAAAAATTTCGAATTGGTTTGCAATAGGGCGATACACGATATAAAATTTTCTATAAAATGATTAAGAAAAAACAGGAAAAGGTCAGAAAATATAGAATACAGTATGAAACCGAAATTAGAACTTGGACTATATCGGTGTGACAATAGTAACCTAATATTCAAATAGAAACCACGATACAAAGTCGAGAAAAGACGAAATTGCACGGAATTTTAATGTCTAAGATGGCACAAACATAAAGCTCGGTAGTGACATGGACAAAAGCGGACATTATTCAATACACCCATCACCTTTAGCAATAAACACGAAGGACATTAAAATTTATAAAAGCAGGTTAGGAAATAAATGTCTGAATGCTATAGATGCTGACATGTCAACGGCTTTGGAAGTACTTCATATGTTACCGCTAAAGCTCGAAATCCGTTAATGTGTACATTACATAGCTAATCTGCAGATTAACTAGGGTTATCCATTAAAGCTGCGAAAATTGTTCAATTTCTCAAATTACCTAGTTAATTTGCAGAGTATCTAGGTAATCTGCACATTAACGGCTTCCGTATCGTTAAAGTTCAAAAGTTTGTTTCTTTCACTTCCTTTACCCACTCCTTTTTACATAGATAAATTTAAATCCTGGAATGCAAGCAAGCACCGAATTGGTGAGTAAAATCAAGAAAAGATTCTTCGCAAACCTCTTTAGCGAAGATTTAAAATATAGTACGTAGTGTTTAAATAACAAACCAAAGTATGATTCCATAATTGAAGATGTAAAGCAAATAAAAGTTTCCAAGAAGAAAGAATCATCTCGAGATTATCAAATAATTCAAAGGTGTGATGTGTTGACTGTACGAGGCTGTGAAAAACTCATTGAGCCGTTGTCAGATGCGCGAGAAAGGTTTGAAAAAGTTTGTCCATGCCGGAGAATTGTTTGACATTCGATAAAAACTGAAGAAGACCTTGAAAAATTAGAAGATTCACAAGAGACTGTGATTATGAGATCACAGTCAAATCTTACTCAAGAGGACATTCCGTTATCCCCCGCTTCTACAGAATCACCTATAGAAATACAAGAATTTACCGATAGTAATCTTAAACTGCCTTCTATACCGTTGATTGATGATGCAGTCACGAAGAATATTCAGTTACCCTGCACCTCCAAGGAATCGCCTCTGCAAGTTGAAGAAGTCATCACTGAGTTACTCTCAACTTCAGCAGAATCGCCATCACAGTTTCGTACGGAGCCTGTAAAGAGCACTATACAAGACATAGTCTGTATTGTTTGCTCAAAAGCAGCATCAAGTGCTCACAAGTGTAAATCGTGTAATATGTTTGTTCACGCAGTTTGTGGTGAAGTAGATCCTAAAGAGGAAGGGTATGGTAAGAATGTATTGTGCATCATCTGTAAAAAGAATATGGATCAGAAAATACAGCGTGATGAAGCCAAGAAATGTTTAGAAAAGCAAGCAAAGAAAATGTTAGCAGTTTCTAATGCAAAGCACCCAAACGTCGATGAAGGTTTCGCTGTGAGAATTAAAGTACCCGAAGAAGACAGAGCAAAAACTGATGCACGTTCAATTTTAGCTGTGGTTCTTAGTAAAACAGAGGATGGCTTTTATAAACTTGATACTAAAACAGGTATTTTAAAACAATTGTATGCAAAATCTGAATTCAGTGTTTGCAAAGAGAGATTTTTAACGAAAGAAGATGGATGTCCCTGCTGTAGAAATATCTTTACGTCAAACAGCAATAAAACAATCCCTTGGTACTGGGCAGGGTTTCAGAAAATGTGACTGCAAATCTAAATGTACCACAAATAGGCGTGCTTGTCGCAAAAACCAATTGCTACGTAATTCAAAGTGTCACCAATCTTTAGATTGCACTAATAAGTAAGTACAATTTTATCATATGTTTTGCAAATTCATTTCCCTAATTGTAGTAATATTTTAAACCGTTTGATTTTTGTATTAAAGTTTTTTTAATTGATTGATGATTGATTCAATCAACTAATTTGTTGATTGTATTAACTTGATTCTTTAGATATTGAAAATTAAATAAATAACATTATGTTAATTTAAGCGTACAGAAACGTTGCTGTTGTTCCAGCAAAAATCTTATTTTCACTTTACCGAGTGCCTAGTAGGTAATTTGCAGATTACCTAGATAATCTGAACATTACCTAGGTAATTTGAGAAATGGAATAATTTTCGCAGCTTTAACGGATCACCCTAGTTAATCTGCAGATTAGCTAGGTAATGCGCACATTAACGGATTTCGAACTTTAGCGGTAACACATATATTGTTGAAAGGAAGAAAATACGATGACTCATAACAATATTTAAGGCTTTTTGTAACTAAAATTGAACTTTTTGATTTTCATTATTGTGATTGTATTATTCATTTTTTGATATTTGTTCATTTAGTTACCATTGTTTGTTTTTGTGACGCATACATTTCATTTAGATTTATAATACGTTTCTCGATTTGTATCTGAATTTTTGTATGATTTGAAAACTTTCGTTTTGAGAATTTTTGATTTACAACGGTGATAGTTTTTCTTAGCAAATAAGATTTCGGAGAATTTGCTCTATTCGTACTGAGAGTAATTTCCGAAATAAAGCATAACTCATGACTGTGTAACACATGGTTTCATTGCCAATACTGAAATTCGACAGAGAAATTGAATTGCCCGCTTGTTATGTATATTACAACTAGCAGATAAGCCCGGCGTTGCTCGGGCAAAAGTAACGATAGCGAAGATTAGAATTATTACATTATAGTCAACCTTACCCGTTTTCACAGAAATCAAGAATTAGGTCTGCATGTTTCCAAATTAATTACAGAATTTTTAGATGGGTCTAAAAATATGTTCGATTTCACTTAAAAACGAAAAAACTGCATCTTCGTCTGCTCGTCGCTTTCTCTTAACAATTCCATTGTTACGTAACACGTCTATTATTAACACGTCTATTGTTGACACTTCCATTAATAATTAAACTTCCATTGTTGATGGTAGTGTTAAGACTTAAAGCTGTTCCTCTCCCCCGTCGGCAGGAATTTCGAAAAATCCCTTTTTAGTATGCGTTCTCGTGACGTACCCTAACTGTGTACCAAATTTCAACTTTCAACTCCTTACCGTTTGGGCTCTGCAATGATTTTTATTATTATAATTATCAACCGTCTCGGTTATATATATAGATAACAATTGTGTATATTAAAACGTGTTTCGTTCATTGTTATTATTTGAATGACAATTATTTGCGCAAATTTTAAGATATTTGACGAGTTTGAGACATTTCATTACAATAACATTTGTTCTAAATTTTGTAATATGTCCTCCAATTGACGAAATATAATTGAAATCTTTGAAAGTTTACTAAGAAGTATACAATTTTTTAAAAATTATGTAAAATAACGTATTGGTCACATTGTGTGAAATTTATATACGAAAAACAATCTAAATAATCAATATCAGAGAAATAGTATAAAAATTTATTCTATTCATAATATCATAAACGAAACTCTTGTAATTGGCTATTTACTGCTTGATAAATGAAGGTCTAACCATTTAATATCAGATTGTTTTTAAATATAAGTTCAGTATGTAATTTTGTATAATTTCACAAGAATATACATTTATGTATATCTAAATATAATTGTCTAATAGATTACAAGCAGCTGTATTGGGAGACGAAAGATTGAACCTGTTGAACGAGATGATTGCTGATATGAGATTGATCAAAATGTACACCTGGGAATTGCCTTACGCCGCATTAATAGAAAAAATCAGAGTGTAAGTGCAACGAAATACAGTAAAACCTGTCTAAAACGCAACCTAAATAAAATGAGTATCTTCAGAAGCATGTTTCTGTTTCTGAAAACCTGCTGACAATATGAAACTACTACATACATTATCAAATTAAAGACATTGAAATGAAGTAACTAATTTTTATTCAGTTATTGTTTAGTGTTTTTGTTTTAAAGTAGAATTATCTCGGATAAATATATTTAGGTTTATGCAGGTTTTATTGTAATTTCGATATGCTAATATGTTTTATATAATTATTTTCAAAGTTCTACAATAAATATCATTTACTTGTTTAAATTTGCAGAAAAGAAATGAGAAAACTTCGAATGTTTTTATATACAAGTGGAATATCGTACATATTGGCGTATCCTATATCGAAATTATTTACTCTTCTCGCATATCTCACGTTTTATTTAAACGGAGGACAACTAAATGCCCGAATTATATTCGTCACTATGACTTTCTCCATATACATCTTCACCAGCATTGTTACTCTATATGCTCATGCAGTGAGTTTGGTTGCAGAAATTTTGATTTCATTGAAGAGAATACAGGTAACGAGCTGTATGAAAATTCTAATTTTTTAACTTTATTACTGCAATACTAATTTAATAATTAATCGAGAATGCTAATATTAATTAATAATACTATTATAAATAAAAAATTTAAAATATTAAATCCGGTCAAGAAATAAATAAGAATAAATCGGAAGCCTGCTAAAATGGGGAAAATTTGCATTATGAACGATATTTTATGTTAAATTTTACAATAAACTCTTTACTACACCTCATAAAAAACTGAATTTTCAGAACGAGTTCGAATCAAAATTAAGGAATGTCACAGGACGAAGAACATACAAAAGGAAATGTTTTAAAATATTAGTATTAACAAGAATTAAGCAAAATTGGAATTAAGTACTTTTAAGAATGGATAATTTTCAAGATTTCAGTAACTTTTTAAAACAGAATCTTGTAAAAAAGCAACGAATAAAATTCGTTGAATACCGCCAGAAGAAGGAAACACGGTGATGTCGACTTATGTTGTATGTAGACGTTCGTAACTGACTAGCACTCAGTAATCGAAAACAAGTTTACTAAAATTATTCGATAACTGCGATTAGAATATTTGGATTTCAACAACACTGTTAGGCAATTACAATTTCCCAAATGAAGGCCAAATAACTGTTTATGTTTTTGTTTATTTTCTTAAAATGTTTTTTTTTGACAATAAGACGGCACTTTTTTGTCCATTATGAATTTGACCAGGCTGTAATGTGAGCGACCAGAGGGTGAAGGTAATTTATGATGGGTTCTTTTCAATAAACATTCTTACAAAAATAATCATTAGAGAGTGGATTTCTCGGAACAAATCTCAGACTTCTCATAATGACAAGCTGAAATTTAATTACTCTATTCTATGGCAATTCCGAAAGTGAAAGATTAGTTGTTAAGGTTTTTGTACTAGCTTGTTCACTGTTCTAAGAACTCATACTGTTCATGTCCGAGAACTAGCACTATTCAATTACTGAGGAAAAGTTGTACCAACTTAAGGCAAAAGATTCTATGTCGAAAAAAATGGAAATCAACGTGCATTCTTTGCAATACATTTTAAATGTATTAGTTTCTTCTTTCAAAAATATTCCTGGTTTATTTCTATCGCTCATATTCGATTTTGATACCATAAGCAATAGCCTAGTACCTTAGTTAATCGTCTAGTTTATCTCCAGTTCGTTCACAAACTTCTGTTCATAACATTAACATTTTTAAATTTTAATTTAGGATTTCCTCCTCCTTCAAGAAAGAGATAACAATCAAGTGAAAACAGTAGAAGGAGAAAATTTAACCGAATACGAAATACGAATGGATAGTGTCACAGCTGCTTGGAAAAAAGTAAGACATGGCTTTAAATTTAATATAAGTTCTGCAATAAAAATAATATTCCTTACAATTTGTTTAATATTGTATAATATTATTTAATTAAACGATAATTTAAAGTAGATAAAACATGAGCTTCTAACTCTTGATACGTATACATCTATATATATATATATATATAAAAATGGACATGTATGTCCCTATATTTCACTTTTCCGCCAAAACTACACATCGCACGTGAATGGTGTTTGTATGTGGTGGTAGCCCCAAGTCTCCATTCGTGCATAGGGGTGGTTGCGTCTCGATAGCTATAAAGGTGCGGGAGATATGAGGCTGAAAGTGGTTGAAAGTGGCTTTCTATTTCGAATGTTTTGTTCGAATTAAATTCGAACATAAAATTCGAATATTGGTTCGATTATAGAACGATTGTAAACGTTCCAGAAACGTTGAAAATAGTTTGTTTGACTGAACGTAAAAATTCTGTAATTAGTCTGGAAACGGGGGACCTATTTCTTGCATTCTGTGAAAACGTGTAAGATCAGCCATAATGTACTTATCTTAATCTTCACTAGCGTTACTTTTTGCCCAGCGAAGCGGGTCCTTGCAGCTAGTGTAGAATATTGTGATTGTCACTGTATTTTAGTTTTCTGAATTTATGTCTGTTAAAGTGATAAAATTGTTAGCAGCATCTGTTAAGATTTGAACCGAAACAAGAATGATTATTGCTTACGAGTGGCTAAGTGAATAACACTACAGGATAACCGTAGTTAGTATCGGATTCACGTTCGACTAATCAGTTGTAGACGTTGAGATTTTTCGTTATTCCTTTACATGTTTAACTTTTAAATTGAAGAATATTTATACATAGAAAGTTATCTCGAAAGACATTGCACTATTTGCAGATCGCTGTACACGAAGAAAAATCATCACATATTGGTGCCTCAATTGTAGTATTGCAAGCTTTCTTCTTTCACAAGGTGATCAAAGTTTCTTTTTGTATTCAATGGTTATGAAATATATTTACAATATATGACATTAAGTGTCAAAGAGGTCTATCGACTAGTGACAAGCTAATTCAAGTTTTCACTCATCGGAATAAGTTTTCCAGAAAAGGTCAGTTAGCCTGAGTTATCCCGGACAAATGGAGACAGGTATGAGGAAGACTCGCAGGAGAGCTACCGACTCAACTCTGGATTGGTCGGCCAACAAATCTACAACTTACATATAAGGCAATTTAACCATTGGAACAGGGAGAAACAAGCCTGGCCTAAGACTTTGTTATGAGAAGCAAGCAAGAAATATTGCTGTGTATATATTGTATATAGTCGTCAAATAAACGGATTTAATTTGAGTTCAAGAAGTCGTAAGGTGTTCTTTTTGTCCACAGATCCGGAAATTAGAAGGCACGATCCGAAATTTACAGTAAACTTAAAATAAGAAATATTTTGTCTACCGCAACTATTCTGCGCTTCTGCAGGCAATGAGACAACATTGCCAAGAATAAAGCAAACATGTTGAAAATAAACAACAACCATCAGGCCACGTACTGTAGGCAGGTGGATGGTAATGGTAATGTATTGTGATTTTTTGTGGTAAAAATAGGAAAACAGTGACAAATATCGTGTCACGAAATGTGATCACTTCCCAATTAAGCGATATTAGATACACCAGATATTGTATAATCTGGTCAGATCCGAAAGTCAAGAAAAAAGTGGTATGCAATCCATTCAAGTATAACAACACAAAATTTATTGGACTGGAAAAGTTAACAATAGTTTGTATAAGGACATTGCCTGCATTCAGTGTTGTAAACAGTAATAATAGACTTGGGACTTTCTAAGAATCAAAAGAAATGTAATTTACGTACATCAAATTATTCATTACTATAAATGTAGGAAAATACGATAATGTCAACGGCATGTGAACAGCCCCTGTTGATACGTCTTTCCAACATCTAAAATCCGCAAATTTTAGANCTGATAAAATGGGGAAAATTTGCATTATGAACTACATTTTATTTTACATTTTACAATAATCTCTTTACTACACCTCATAAAAAACTGAATTTTCAGAACGAGTTCGAATCAAAATTAAGGAATGTCACAGGACGAAGAACATACAAAAGGAAATGTTTTAAAATATTAAGCAAAATTGGAATTAACTACCTTTAGGAATGGACAATTTTCAAGATTTCAGTAAGTTTTCGAAAACAGAAATCTTGTAAAAAAGCAACGAATAAAATTCGTTGAATACCACCAGAAGAAGGTAACACGGTGATGTCAACTTATCTTGTATGTAGACGTTTTTAACTGACTAGCACTCAGTAATCGAAAACGAGTTTACTAAAACTATTCGAAAACTGCGATTAGAATATTTGGATTTCAACAACACTGTTAGGCAATTACAATTTCCCAAATGAAGGCCAAATTACTGTTTATGTTTTTGTTTATTTTCTTAAAATGTTTTTTTTACAATAAGACGGTATTTTTTTTATCCATTATGAATTTGACCAGACTGTAATGTGAGCGACCGGAGATTGAAGGTAGTTTATGATGGGTTTTTTTCAATAAACATTCTTACAAATATAATTATTGGAGAGTCGGAATCAATCTCAGATTTTTCATAATGACAAGCTGAAATTTAATTACTCTATTCTATGGCAATTCCGAAAGTGAAAGATTAGTTGTTAAGGTTTTTGTACTAGCTTGTTCACTGTTCTAAGAGCTCATACTGTTCATGTCCGAGAACTAGCACTATTTAATAACTGAGGAAAAGTTGTACCAACTTAAGGCAAAAGATTCTATGTGGAAAAAAATGAAAATCAACGTGAATTCTTTGCAATACATTTTATATGTATTAGTTTTTTTTTTTCAAAAATATTCCTGGTTTATTTCTATCGCTCATATTCGATTTTGATACCATAAGCAATAGCCTAGTACCTTAGTTAATCGTCTAGTTCATCTCCAGTTCGTTCACAAACTTCTGTTCATAACATTAACATTTTTAAATTTTAATTTAGGATTTCCTCCTCCTTCAAGAAAGAGATAACAATGCAGTGAAAACAGTAGAAGGAGAAAATTTAACCGAACACGAAATACGAATGGATAGTGTCACAGCTGCTTGGAAAAAAGTAAGACATGGCTTTAAATTTAATATAAGTTCTGCAATAAAAATAATATTCCATACAATTTGTTTAATATTGTATAATATTGTTTAATTAAACGATAATTTAAAGTAGATGAAACATGAGCTTCTAACTATTGATACATATACATGTAGAATATTGTGATTGTCACTGTATTTTAGTTTTCTGAATTTATATCTGTTAAAGTGATAAAATAGTTAGCACATATGTTAAGATTTGAACCGAAACAAGAATGATTTTTGCTTACGAGTGGCTAAGTGAATAACACCACAGGATAACGGTAGTTCGTATCGCATTCACGTTCGACTGATCAGTTGTACGTGTTGAGAGTTTTCGTTATTTCTTCACCTGTTTAACTTTTAAACTGAAGAATATTTTTACGTAGAAAGTTATCTCGAAAGACATTGCACTATTTGCAGATCGCTGTACACGAAGAATAATCATGACATATTGGTGCCTCAATTGTAGTATTGCAAGCTTTCTTCTTTCACAAGGTGATCAAAGTTTCTTTTTGTATTCAATGGTTATGAAATATATTTACAATATATGACATTAATGTCAAAGAGGTCTATCGAGTAGTGACAAGCTAATTCAAGTTTTCACTCATCGGAATAAGTTTTCCAGAAAAGGTCAGTTAGCCTGAGTTATCCCGGACAAATGGAGACAGGTATGAGGAAGACTCGCAGGAGAGCTACCGACTCAACTCTGGATTGGTCGGCCAACAAATCTACAACTTACATATAAGGCAATTTAACCATTGGAACAGGGAGAAACAAGCCTGGCCTAAGACTTTGTTATGAGAAGCAAGCAAGAAATATTGCTGTGTATATATTGTATATAGTCGTCAAATAAACGGATTTAATTTGAGTTCAAGAAGTCGTAAGGTGTTCTTTTTGTCCACAGATCCGGAAATTAGAAGGCACGATCCGAAATTTACAGTAAACTTAAAATAAGAAATATTTTGTCTACCGCAACTATTCTGCGCTTCTGCAGGCAATGAGACAACATTGCCAAGAATAAAGCAAACATGTTGAAAATAAACAACAACCATCAGGCCACGTACTGTAGGCAGGTGGATGGTAATGGTAATGTATTGTGATTTTATGTGGTAAAAATAGGAAAACAATGACAAATATCGTGTCACGAAATGTGATCACTTTCCAATTAAGCGATATTAGATACACCAGATATTGTATAGTCTGATCAGATCCGAAAGTCTAGAAAAAGTGGTATGCAATCCATTCAAGTATAACAACACAAAATTTATTGGACTGGAAAAGTTAACAATAGTTTGTATAAGGACATTGCCTGCATTCAGTGTTGTAAACAGTAATAATAGACTTGGGACTTTCTAAGAATCAAAAGAAATGTAATTTACGTACATCAAATTATTCATTACTATAAATGTAGGAAAATACGATAATGTCAACGGCAAGTGAACAGCCCCTGTTGATACGTCTTTCCAACATCTATAATCCGCAAATTTTAGATGATTTTAGATCTGATCTCTCATTTTTTTGTTGATTTTGTCTGCGTAGAATGTAATTCTTGATCCGGCACCCGACAATCCGATATATTCCGTAATCAGACATTCTTGAATTCCCTTCTTTGGACTCTTCTAAGTCTCTGCCAATTTACTTTATTAATTAGCCCATGTGCCTACCTCATTGGTGGTATTGAATTTGGTTGAGTTCTTTGTCCTCAGGGTGTATTAGGTAAATTCTTTTCTCCATATCTAGGGACGTACTGTACATAGCTTCTCGAAAGCCTCGGTTTTCGATCCTCGTTCTACCAAAAGATGTGTCTCGGGAGTCTTCGGTTCATCACCCAGTTTTCCTTGGGATTGATATTGTCTTCGTTGATCTGGATATCCCCGAAAACGCGAAAATGGTTAGCGTCTACTTCAATGGTCGCCGCGACTACATTCTTGAGCTAACAGTTGCTTTAGTTGCTCCTGAATTTTCGCTAAACTTTCCTTTAATTGATTGTTATCTGTAGCGTTAGGTTCCACTTTATTATCGCTACGGTTATTTATACTTTTTACTATCACTCGGGATTTCCCTGTTTCTTGGTCTATAGTTTCCTCACTATTCACTGCACACACCACTTTATCTAAGGTATCAGGTTTCCGTGACGTTACCTGTCGTTTTATACGGTCATTGAGACCACTAAGAAATTGCACCTTCAATCGTTCTTCTCTTTTCTTTTTATCTGGCATCTTTTTTTAATAACTTTTGCCTGCGCTTGAACGCCGGCATGAAATTCTTGCAGCAGTAAAGAAGAAGATTCTTTTTCAAATTTCTTAATCACGAGTTTATTAAACTTCTTGTATGTTTCGTCTTCTTTCATCCTCAAATCCTTCCACGCAAAATCCCTGGCTATACCAGTCAATTATAATTTCGCAACTCCTAAACACTGCGCCTTTGCCCAATTGATTAAATTAGCTATTTTATCAAGCGATTGAAAAAAATCGGTGACCTAAAGGCCATCCGCATCTCCGGCTGATGGCCTTAAGGCCAGCAAAAGAGGGTATTAAAAAAATCATGCCTTCAAATCCGCCTAATGTGGCACTTCCTGCTGTCTCTCTACGTGCGCATCCTAATCTTGTAGCTTTCATCCTATTTTAATTTGTCTAGGATTGTTCCGAAATATGTATCCCGCTCTCACACCAGTGTGACCGGACAGTTGGCAATGTGACAAAGTGTGACCTTTTTTTAGCGTCTTGTCTGGACTGACACCACCGTGTCCCGCTTCACTCGGAAGCCGAGACAGCATGTTGATTCGGTATTATTAGAACGTTGGTCACCCGAACGGTCACGTGCGCGGGCGATCGAATTCCGGATGGCAAACAGAGAGACAGCTCAACAGAAGTAAAGTACTCAAATACGAAACTTAACAACTTAATAACCATTTATTTTCAACGAAGACGAATACATGTTACAATATGCAATATATATATATTAGGTTCTACCGACTTAACCTATTCTTTCAGCAGTTGCGAGAAAGAGTGTTCACATGAGATACGCGCGGAGATAAATACCTTGTATCTGCTGCGAGCCGGTAGGACAGAAAGGAAGAAAGTTCTGAAAGACAGTTGTTTTTCGAATAGTTCTGAGTTAAAAATAGATATTATGGCCGTAGGCGAGGATGTATCTGATAATGAGGTATTCTAAGGGCACATGGTGTCCGTAAATTAGAACACAGAAAAAAATGAGTGATGCGATCGAGGAACTGGTGACGACTGACTCTTCGGCCGTCAATTTCGATATCAGCATGATGTGGCCAGGCTAAGAAGTCAGCAGATCACGGGAATGCGTCGTTTTCGCCATCGAGAAAGTGTAAAAGAACTTATTAGGTAGTAGATTCGACAACAATTATCGAATAAGTATGAAGATATCGACCATATATTGGATTCTCACAGATGTGTGCATATAATTCATTTTAAGAACAAGCAGTAATTAATATTTAACTTTATATTAATCAACTTTTATTTTGAAATATATAAAATTAACATTATTACGAATACTATACATTTATAGTATATTATTATTAATTTCGATTTATAACTTTTAATATTAGTTGTGTATCTTTCGATAACTTTGTTTTTTTAAAGGGAACCGAACCAACGTTAAAAGAGATATCGTTCAACGTGCTGCCTGGGGAGTTAGTAAGTGTTATTGGTCCAGTTGGATCAGGGAAGGTAAATATCATATTTTAAATTATTTATATGCACTCTGATTTAAAGATTGTTTAGAATAGTAACAAAAATGAATTTAAAAAATTTAATTATTTATCTACTTATAGTAAAGTTAAGTTTCAAATTCTTATACAGGAATACCTTCTTTAAAATTATTTTATCAATTTTTGATTTTATTTTCGTTTGATTACAATTTGTGAAAAGAAAATATACGTTTACGTAGTTGTCAAACTAAACAATGGATGTTATTTATATCACGTAACAAAAAAGAAAGATTGTTAGACAATTATTTGTATTGTATTACTTGTTGTGTGCATAATTTGTTATAGAAACTTCTGTTACATCTGTTGTTGACAAGAAACGAACTGACTGATAACAAGTGAAAATAAAACCGAAAAATTGACATATAAAATTACATGTTAGTGCTCATTTATCGTATCTGATCTAAACACAAATATTTATTAAAAATTATTAACACAATATTTTTTTATTACTTTCTCTTTTGTGTTTAAATTACAGTAGCCCATCTATAACGCCTAGAAACGTTACACGTTATACGAATTTCACGTTGTAGGAGTCCTTAAATACACGAGCCAATCGCAGCCCGACACGTGTGAAGTTTACGGACTATGGCTGTTTGAAAGGTTTTCTTCCATAAAATTAATTGATTCTTACACTAATTCGACTCAACATTCCCAAAACACGTAAATTTTTTGGGAATAATCTGTATAAACTATGTTATAAACGAAAAATTGTAGGATTACTTACCGAGTGTGCACCGTTCGACGTCGCCATGGCTTAAGCTTGTTTTCGAGCGGAGCAGCGCACCAAACGGCGGGCGCGATTTCTGATAAGTTATTTTTCTGCGAAAAATTCGTTGATCTTTGAAGACATTATTAATATAAATAATTTTTATGGCCGTTGAATAAGAAACGTTTCTTTCACAAGAAATGTATAAAATTACAGTACTGTATTAGACTTACGGTACCTAATACTGGACAGACGATAGTAAACTCAACTTAGTCGCCTAAACTCTCTGTAGTCTGGCGCTGGACGGCAGAAAGTATATATATAATTATAATAAAGTTATATATACAGTACCTAATTTATATATAATACTGTACAGACGATAGTAAACTCAACTTAATGGCCTAAACTCTCTGTAGCGTGTAAGTAGTTTGGCTGCTCGTTTACTATTGGTCCAAATTCGACCAATCCTCTCGCGACACAAGTCGGCGACGACGTTTTACAAGTCCCATTTAGCGTCTTTATACGAATACTGTCGCAGTTCTTTCGCCACGTTATAGGAATCTTTGTTATAGGAATCCGCGTTATAGGGGGTCTATTGTATTATCTTAATTTATTGATTACACAACAGTCATTATTATTGAATCATTTTCAATTGTGTAAGATTATAACGATTAATTTTCAAAATTTCTACATTTCGCTTTTATTTAGCAGGTAAATTGTTACTATCAATAAATAAGTTTCGAAATACGGAACTATAAGATTATATTTGATATAAAATTTTAAATTTCAATGGACTGATCTTAAATAAAAACTATATTTGATCTACTCATACTAATTATCATTGTAGAATGTTTAATTCTACAATTATTTTCTTATATCAATACATTTAGCGCAGATTACTTTTTGACATAGATCAATAATTTATTCACCGACACCTCTTTCATTGTCACAACAATATTCTGCACGTATAATTTAACTTCCATTATGATTTATTTATTGTACACTTTTCTAAGAAAATTTGTTTGCAGATGAATTTTTCGACATTGATAAATATGATGTGAGAGTTTCTATTCTGAATTGAAGGAATATGTTATATCACCTTTTTAAATTACATGCGATTTACAAAAAAAAACAATTAATAATTGAAATATATTCTTTTATTAATTAATATGTAAATACTTTTAAAATGTTTATGTAGTTATATTATTTATGTAAAACATTTCGCATCTATTTATGAAATGACATTAATTTCATTAGACGTCTTTATTAATGTCCGTGTTGGGAGAGATTCCAATTACTTCCGGTGAAGTATCAGTGAAAGGAAGGATCTCGTATTCTTCACAAGAAGCTTGGGTGTTCAATGCAACTATCAGAGAAAATATCTTGTTCAGTGAAGAATATCAAGAAGACAAATATAGAAAAGTCTTGCATATAACTGCACTAGAAAAGGTATGATGTTTTCTACTCTTATTAGCAAAACTTTGGATGTCTTACTTGAATTTCTAAACAAAAAGTAATTTGATCAAGACTACAAAATCAACGTTTTTAATAAAAGAAAGAGTTAAATTAAAAAATTAATTTTGTAGTTTTGGTCTTTGTAACTTTAACGATTTTAGGAGAAATGATATAATATTAAATTTTATTGGCCAACGTGGCATTTTTTAAATAAAAAAACAAATTTTTATAAGAGAAAAATCTGTTCCACAAGTCAAATACTTTTAGAAATCGATAGTTATGTTTAGTTTTAGTAAAGTTTTCAATGCANAGGCATTTTTCGTGGGAACAAATTCATATTTAACTGCATTAAATACCGCATTGAACAAATTTATTGTTTTTTTCTGCACGAATTTCTTCCCCTTTCAAACTCTTTTTCCATTTTTGAGCCCTGAAGGCCGAGTTCGTCTCGATTTCATTCGTCTCTTTGTTCTTGATTGCTTCCTTTGCAGAGTTTTTTTTCTGACCTTCGATTGGTGTGATAAAAATGCAGGCAACCTTTTCGTTTCTATTTGATTTCATATGCTCCATCTTCGAAAGATCGACAGGCTCTTCTGCACAAACATTTGTTTGTGTAAAATTCATAATCACAATTAAGATTATTGAACTAATTGTTCAAAATGTGATCATTTATTGTATTGACTTTGTTGAGAATAACAGTTGATCATTAAACCATGTTCGTTATCAAAAAACTAAAAAATTGTACTTTCTTTAAACACTGTAAAGTACTGTATATCGAAGATAAAAACTTTTTTCACAAATCGCTCGTTCACAATTTACAGCGACACAATCCTCGCCTACAAAAATGACCGTTTAGTGGGTTAAGTTTTTCCAAAAACGTAAATTTGTTAATTAAAATGTACTCTGATAACAAAGCCGCAATTACAATCAATCAATCTTTTATATTAAGGCGCCATAGAAGTACATGCCCAGTACCGCGAGGCATAGCCGGACTACAAAACAAGATAACAGGTGAATTACGAAGTGTGGGAAATTAGGCAATGCATTACAGCAGGTATGTTGACAATATATAGGCTATCCACCGAAGAAGATTTTATTCGTAAAAGTTTTTGGAAGAATGACAGTTATTTCGTGATGAAAATATGTTACACGGCATCAGGATAGTCTGGGGATCAAGCACAAATCTATAACAAAATACCAGTGTTTATTGATTTACATTAATCGGACACTGGTTAGTTTGTAAACGATATTAATGTCATACATAGAGAGAAAATTAATCAGTTCAAAAATGTATTTGTAAAAGACCAATAATAAAACGTTCGTAAAATTCGGTAAAAATTCCTAAACTTATTATAATATTTCGAATACAAATGTGTATTTGTATACATTTTCATCACGCATAAATTTTTATATATTAAAATCATACAAGTAATTGAACTTATATACTCGATTAATATATTTCAGGGGAAATGTGATTTAATTAGAAATTTCAATGAATTGGAAAATTTAGAAATGCTTACAGCAATATTACCAAAGGAAGAAATCGCTGATAATAGCATGGAGTTAGAGACTACGATTTTGAATGATGATGAAATAATTGAAAGTAGTCAATCTGATATGAATGATATCATTGAAGACAGTAACAAGAGTATTGAGGTAAGAACTGTTTATTAAACAGTTAACCTAGCTAAAAATTTCAGAGTGGAATAGCTGATGTTCATCAGTTTTCATTTTTCGGATTGATTTCTCCGAGAGTTGTACGTTTATTTTTACTATTTTTAGGATATTAGCTTATTTCCTAAAGGAGATCTGACTATTGTAGGAGAAAGAGGAGTGATAATGAGCGGTGGGCAGAAGGCAAGAATTAATCTAGCAAGGTAAAACAGGTCTTACCTATAATTATATTTTTAGGTGTGCAAATATAAAAGTGCAATGTTAATAGGAAAAAGAAGACAAATATAATGTAATAATAAATACATTTTAATAAATGTTAACACAGGCTTATTTATATATACATGGGTTCTGTGTTTTGTCATTACATGCTGACAAAAAGCTACCAAACAAATTATAGGCTATTACTTCATTTCAATGTTTAGTTACGGTGTATTTCTGTGAGCGCTACAGGATTGAAAAGTGAAAACAATGCAATATTTAAAATAATATTTTATTAAAAAAACAAACAGAATATTTGATTCTCTTATCAGATAATATCATATTCGATAAATACTCTGCAATCCAGTAGTAGTGGCATCGTATACTGATACCTTTTAATTTTCCTCACGCCCTGTTTTCTAGTTCATAAAATACCACAAAAATTTAATTAAAACTTTATTAAATAATAAAACAAGAATGATTATATATATAACTTCTGTAGAAGGCGATAAATTTTCGAAACTGTTACGTAGCTTCGCGTAGGTGTAGAATGAAAATGGGTGAAAAAATTATAAAACACTTATCACGAAGAGAAAAATATATTTAAAAAAATATAAGTTTTATGTACTGTGTGCCTGGTTTTTTTTATTTATGACGATGTTATATTTTTATATTTTCCAGAGCGCTATATCTGGATGCCGATATTTTTCTTCTCGATGATCCACTTAGTGCCGTTGATGTTCCAGTGGCGAAACATATATTCGAAAAGTAAGTATTTAAATCATACTTTTTGTACGTTTTAATACATTTTAACTTTCAACCTATTTCAGATGTATAATGGAATATTTAAAAGACAAGATCTGCATTCTTGTTACGCATCAAGTACAGTTTTTAAACTGTGCAAGTAAAATTTTAGCGTTAAACAAGGTGAATATCTTCATTGTTTATTACTTTGTTTTTAAAATTATTTTTACGGTAATAANGGAGGCACATTTTAGGGGCGGCAAAAATTCACAATAAATAATAATATCTTGTAAAAATTTGAGCCATTTTAATTTATATTTCTGTTGCACCTACGATTCGGACCGATTGAAATGAGCATGGAATAGTGTTACCATCCGGACAGTCCGGGAATCGACTTACCATCTGGGTGAACTACTAATTCTACCTGGGGCATCGTGCATAACCTGTTCGACCCTTTCTTTGTTTTTTGCTTGTACGATTCATTCATATTCATATACACTTCTAATATCCAATAGAGTTCAGTCATCTGGGTTACTTACGTTACTCCCACCCAAGACTCCCTAATCGTTAACTATAACTGATTTAGAACCAGCATGCACTGCACATTACTCTTCGCATTGCAAAATGACACACGCATGCGTCAGAAACTTCTGTTCGAACAAACTTCACCTGCCGTCCGGGTCAGCGATTTTAAAAAGGTGGCAACACTAGCACGGAATTTTTCATTACTTATTCTGTGACGAAACTGANACATTTTGGTTGATTATTACTAACATTATACTTTGAATGGCAGATCCATCATCTTGAATATTAACCAATACAAAACTATTGGGCTGCAATTTGAAAAAATTGTATACTTATAAATTCCCTACATATGACTATCATTGCTTACTTTCAAGAACAAGAGTTAGATAGATAAAAGACGCGCTCACGTATGCACACCTTTGAGGCAGGATGTTTCGATTAACTAGAGAGGTTGAGGCAGACGTTTTAAACGTGTAAACGTGTAGGTCGGACGTTCGGCGCCGCTTTCCCGTAAGCCTAAAAGTTTGACAATGGTGTTTGGATAGTCCGGTGGAATCACGCTCGACATTCCAAACACCATCGTCAAACTTCTAGGCTTACGGGAAAGCGGCGCCGAACGTCCGACCTACACGTTTACACGTTTAAAACGTCTGCCTCAACCTCTCTACTATATAGGCCTACGAACTTTCCATGCTAACTGAAAGTCACATTTTTTCAATTCAAAAAAATTTTCCCGTACAGTGTTAGAGATGACCGGCACGACTCAATTGTTAAAAGAGAAGTATGATGTGCGGGGGCAAATCACTGCTAATTTTAGATGGAGCGCATATAAATTAAAAATATGATTAAGAATTGCAGCCTGGCATTGTTACAATGTCACAATAAATAATTGCACATTTTAGAAAGGGAATTTTAGATTATTTTCTCCTTAAAACTTATTTTATATTTCAGATTAAAATTAAAAGTAAAATTATATACTATAAGTTCGTTATAGAACATCAAATTCAAACCATATCGCTATTTTGAAATGAGAGAATAACGTTTGAGATAAAAACTATTTTAACTCGATAATCTGAAAATTATGTAAAAAGTAAACACGAGCTATTATTAATACAATGCTATACTGGTAATTTTTTATCATATTTTTAATTTATTTAATTTAAAATATATTATCTCCACCTCATATTAGTAGGCCTACTGTATTGACTTGTCCCTGTATGTCATACTTCTCTTTTAACAATAGAGTCGTACTGGTCATCTATTAACTGCTTTCAAGGAAAAAGTTTTAAATCAAAAGTTTGCGTTGGAAGACCATATACAGGTAATCTGAGTCTTCTGCTTAAAATGTTTTCATATCTTCTCAGATTTAAGGATTCTGACTACCTTCTCGAAATACAGAAACCAGTGAAGATGGACTGACACACCAAAGTGTAATTTATAGGTTTACAAATTTTTTTAAGTTTCTAGCCCAATAAGAAGGAAGCGAACATTTTAAAACAATACATACCTGTAGTTGTATTTCAAAATCATTTTAAATACTATATCAATTTAATTTTAAATTTTTTGACGTTTGCAATGAGTTTAATTTTTAAATTAGGAAGAAAAATGAATATTTTAAATGATACAATTTAACTTTTCTTATCAAGAAAAAAGTAGCTCTGAAATAAGCCGTTACTCTGTTAGTTTTGAAGAAATCAGCAATTCAGGCATTTTTCGTGGGAACAAATTCATATTTAACTGCATTAAATACCGCATTGAACAAATTTATTGTTTTTTTCTGCACGAATTTCTTCCCCTTTCAAACTCTTTTTCCCTTTTTGAGCCCTGAAGGCCGAGTTCGTCTCGATTTCATTCGTCTCGTTGTTCTTGATTGCTTCCTTTGCAGAGTTTTTTTTTCTGACCTTCGATTGGTGTGATAAAAATGCAGGCAACCTTTTCGTTTCTATTTGATTTCATATGCTCCATCTTCGAAAGATCGACAGGCTCTTCTGCACAAACATTTGTTTGTGTAAAATTCATAATCACAATTAAGATTATTGAACTAATTGTTCAAAATATGATCATTTATTGTATTGACTTTGTTGAGAATAACAGTTGATCATTAAACCATGTTCGTTATCAAAAAACTAAAAAATTGTACTTTCTTTAAACACTGTAAAGTACTGTATATCGAAGATAAAAACTTTTTTCACAAATCGCTCGTTCACAATTTACAGCGACACAATCCTCGCCTACAAAAATGACCGTTTAGTGGGTTAAGTTTTTCCAAAAACGTAAATTTGTTAATTAAAATGTACTCTGATAACAAAGCCGCAATTACAATCAATCAATCTTTTATATTAAGGCGCCATAGAAGTACATGCCCAGTACCGCGAGGCATAGCCGGACTACAAAACAAGATAACAGGTGAATTACGAAGTGTGGGAAATTAGGCAATGCATTACAGCAGTTGAATGAGATGTAATAAAATAATACAAAACAACAATCATTAAAACTAGTGAAAAATACAATAAAAAACAAGTGAGAGTATAATAAAAACTAAATTACAAATAAGTATAGAAAAGGTAAGTAATCAGAATTATTTAGCTTGTTTACACAATGGTTACATAATAAAAATAGTGAACAGTACAATATAAGAATATTATGAAATGACTGTAGAAAATAACATAAACAAAAGTATGTACAGTACATATATATATACAGGACATGGGCAGCTAATGGCTGCAAGTGATACAAAATATTACAGGTAGTATGTACAGAGAAGGGTTACTGGTTGGAAGTGGTAGTTCAGATAACGCCGTGTTTTTTCACAAGTGCATCGAAAGCTGTATACAGTTTTTTGTTCTGAAAAAAGTCCTTGTGGTGGCATGGCCAGGGGATGTTATTTTTGGAGGCTATTAGCTTGATGTTCGAACGATCAGTTTCCAGGCACACACAGCTGAAAATGTGATGGTCAGCGTCATCAACTTTATCACAAATGGCGCACAGTGGGGTGTCCTTGATGGCAAACCTGTGAAGATAACTGGAGAACTTTCCATGATTTGTTAGGAACTGACATAAGTGGGTATTGAGCTGTATCCAGTTGAATTTGAAGTAATCCTTAATGTCTGGAATGTAACTAAAAGTAGTGATATTGTGGTTGTCACTCCAGTTGCTCTGCCAAGAGTGAAGAAGATCTTCGAAAAGCAAGTTTTTAATAGCAGAGTGACTGATCCTGTCGTAGGCTATGTCTAAGGAGTCATTGTCGGCTGCAGTCTTTGCCAGTTGGTCGGCCCGCTCATTTCCAGCAATACCCTGATGACCACGACTCCTATTAATGTAGAGGTGGTTTGTTGAGTTGTTGAGGTGCTTTCTGATGTTAGTTGCGATGGGGTGTTGTTTCTTGCTGTTAATGGTGGAAAGAGCAGAAAGGCAGTCCGTGAGTATGACTATAGTTGCATGTTTGTAGTGCGCCGAAACCCAGTTGGTGGCCTTGTCAATAGCAGTTAGCTCTGCCTGAAATGCAGTACAGTGGTCTGATAACCTGTACTGTTCACTGTGAATTTCATGGTCAGCCTGGTAAGCCACGAAGGCACAGCCAACTTTGCCGTCAAGTTTTGAGCCATCTGGACATCGCTGTACTGTGGAGGATTGGTGTTTAGATAGTTGTGGACATATGGAGGAATGGTGTCAACAGGATTGTTTTTTCAAGCTGATTAGCGGAGATGTTGCTGCTGAATGTGCTGATATCATGACCCCATTTAAGGCTTCAGAAGTTGTAGTAGAGGTTGATGATATCCACAATAGGCGGCTTGCGATTACAGTCGACTCCCCCTATAACACTGTTGATAATTCCGTTTTGTATAAATTCCATGTTGTACTAGTCAATTAGATATTACAAATACGTGTATCGGGCTGTGAACGGCTCACGTATTTATTCGTTTTTAATTAATTAAAAACAAATAAACTGAGTGACCAAATTATTAGAGACACTATATTACTATAGTGTCTCTGATAATTTATTTAAGAATGTTCTATTAATTTGCAACTTTTTATATTTTATGTAATAAATCATTAAAATGCAGATTTAACACAGCAGTGACGTGTAATTTAATACTAGATTATGAAAAATGTGTTATATTCAATGTAAATTCCTGAAAAGTACATGATAATTGCTTACAGAAATGTTAGTTGAATATGAAACATTTTTCATGTTTAGTAACAGTATTACCGATAGTTCCTTGAATACTAATTAGCATACTGGTACCAAATGACCATGTGGACGACGTAGGAATACTTGGCGTAAAACTTTTCTTCAAAATTTGAAGATGCTTAATACGACGTGAGATGAAGCTAAAACTCTTGTCCGGGATAGAAATCGATGAACGATAATTGCTGAGAGTAGGAGAATGCCCTGCCATATTCCTTCTCCAAGTTTATAAATACCTTGCGTAGTTCTGCCATAATCATGCCGCGATTGAAGATGTTTAAATTTTTTGTCTTACCCATGTTCAGGCTAAATAAGTCATCTCTGAATATGAGGATTGTCTGTTGCTGGTGATTGTAAATGACCAATTTGTGAAAACATTTCGTTTCCTCTTTGTACGTTGCATTTTTAATTGAACCCACAAGTTTTAAATTTCTCTGTTTTAGCTGGATGGTGGCGCTCGAAGAGCCTACACCTAATAATACACCACGTTATTACAGAGGAGTCCAAAATCCACATTCTTGAGGGCACAAAGGAAGTTAGAGATTTTGTTTTCGGCGATGGAGCCGTGAAATCTGAAAGATTACAATATATATATAATTCTTCGGCAACTTCTACGCGAATCAAAACGTAATCTTTTCCAAAAACGAGATTGTAATTTCCAGTACGATAAAGCCTGTCTGCACTAGGCTAGTAAATCTAGAATCTGGCCGCACTATCTGATTATATACGTGTACTCTCATGACCAGCATAACACCTGGACGTATCTTCTTCAGAAAATGTATGGAAGACAAGGAGAAAAGAGATAGTAGCAGGAGAGATCTGTAGTGCCGCCGTCGGGAAACTTTTATTTGGCATTAAACAGATATATTATTTAATACATAAACATATTTTTACAAACAATATGGTTTCATTCAATGACAACTATTTGGATCCTATATATATGGTATGAACAGTTATATTACTGTCCGTATTGTGTATAATCTGGGCTAATTGAACAGACTGGTAAAGCAGCTGTAATACAGCCGGTTAGCAAACTAATAAATACTTCATTTGAAATTGTCCAAAACTAAAAGCCGCTTTACCAGGAAACGAGCTGTAAACATTTGTGGAATTACTGTACATACGTTAATTGGTATTTGCTCTGATCGAATACAACAGAGACAACTTTGAGATTTAAGTTATTTAACACATTTTCAGCGACATGGAAAACAAATATTACCTCGTATTATATCGATTGTTTACCAGATCTTCCAATTCTGTTCAGGTAAGGAAGGAATTCAAAAAGGAAAATGTTAAGAGTTAAGAGTTTTAGAAAACTAGAATATAACTTATGCTTAGTTGTCTTTTTATTCTTTAATTGTAAATGATATTGATTTATTACGACATATCTTTTTTATCCTTCTGTTTGGTAACTCTTCATTTTTTAAAAGAAAAGGAGCTTTGATTTTTCAACACTGTTAGTGTAATAAATCGAATTTATTATACTATATTGTGTTTAAGGTTCAAAGAACAGTTACAACACGGTTTCAGATTATCAAAAAAAAAGGAAAAGAAAAGGAGCTAATATTAAAAAAATGAATAGTTTCTTTCGTTTGTGTGTGTGAAGTAAGAATAACACATATTTAACATTTACATGAAAAAATTATCTTATACGTTCTTATAGTTCGAAAGAACATATTAAAACATTTATTCCAGATTTAAACAAAACTCAACGAATAATTTATTTATCTTTTAAAACATTATTCTTCATAGGACGCCGAAAATAACCAAACACCACGTGACAACGAAGTTAAGCAACCAGGAATTTCAGTTTATAAATCATACGTAAATGCCGGAGCGGGACTTTTCTTCAAAATGGTTATCTTATCCATGTTAATTATATCGCAATCCTTTACAGCTGCCAGCGACTATTGGCTAATCAAATGGTATGATATCATTATAATTAATGTATAATTTAACACGTGAACTGTGCTTTCTTTTAAAATATTTAATGAAAATATCATTACGGTATGTAAGCCACATTTAATTCAGTATGCTAACAAGTTTCAGGTACAATGACTAAACAAATTTTGCGAGTTGGAGTAAATATATTTTTTTGTATCTAAATATTTCCATCTATTTTTTTTAATTGGGCATTGAAAATAAACGTCAGAATGAAATTTTTAAATTTTTATATATGCATTTAATATAAGTATTTTTGAAAAAATTCGTAGATTTGATCTGAAGTCTTGAAGAAGTAAATTTGTTTTTGAAATTTAAATTTAAACGTTAAAGTCAGTATTAATAAAATTTAGTTTCTACTTTTGTGAAAAAGACAAGATATCTTTGTAATCATAGAAATGATTCAAATATTTTTACACAAAACATCAATAATAATTTCATCTTGTCTACACTGCTTCATTGATTAATGCACTGGTCTGTATGAACTGGAACAAGATCTCACTTACAAGCTATCTTGTTTCAGTGCCAAGCACTGTAGTAGTAGATTTGAACGTCTGTTTTCTTAATAATTAATGGATTTTCAACATATTGAAAAAATGTCAATTTGCGGGCAACATTTTTCAGTAACTACACGTGAAATTAGTCTACCAAAAAATTGGCCGGAATAGGAAAGAGATTGGGATGACGCCCACAGTTATATCTCTCACGATAAATGGTAGGATTCCGTGTAAATTTTCACTGAAATCATTTTATATATTTATTCAGATATATTACATTTTCATCATTTGGTAGATTTGAATGTCGTTTATATGTATTATTCTTATTTAATGCATTAAGTAATTAAATGTATTTCATTCTATTAAAAAATAGAAAAATCAGAATGTTTAACTGTTATTTTATTTTTTATTATCAGGTTGCAAGATATAAGAATCTATAGCCAAAGAATAGAGAATTTCGAAAATATTACATCTAACAAAAGTAATTTTCACAACATTGAAGACGAAACTTTTTATCACAGTGAAGAATTCAACATGTATGTTTACATTGGATTGATATGTGCTGTATTTCTAACCACGTTACCTTCTGGATTATTGTTATACAAATTTTTCACAATTGCTTCTTTCAAGCTGCACAACAATATGTTTCGTTGTATCATTCGAACTCCGATATCATTTTTGGATAACAATCCCGTTGGTATGTAAAATCTATTTATTTATTTTATTGTTAAGTTAATGAAATTTGCGATATGATGTATCTTCCGTAACTACACATACTCACCATGATCATATAGCGAAAAAGTAAACATTGTCATAGAAAAACGCTTCGAGCTTTACTCTGTTCCAAGAACGTTTTTCACTGTTACTGATCAAAGATGTTCTATGGATATAACAAAGCAGTAGCTATTTAAGCCGGCTGTCTGTTAAATCTGAATCCTAATACTACGTTCGCACACAATCCACGATTCACTTCGATCTCGATTTACCTACAATCTGGATTATGACTGTCGCTAGTCGAACGTCGTGCTGTTCGCACAGGCAGTCCGCTCGAGAAGAACCTGGCTATTACACGCGATCATAAAACTGACGTAACTACGCGGTAAGTCACAAACACCAACAAACAAAATGGAAGTTTCGGTTAGAAATAAATACTTTTTCTTGCCATAAATCTAATAATAGATAGATGTCGTCGTCTCTCCAGATGTCTTTTTTATTTCTCTGTCGATAGCCCGACACGCTTCCGCATAGTTCCGCAGCCATCTTGTATTTTCTCTCTCGCGCGTGGGATTGTGGGATTTCTCTTATGACTGGATCTAGTTTCGACAACTCTATCAAGTCGATCGCGAATGAAACGGTCGAGAGCGTTCGCACCACGGAACACTCTCCGACCTTAGTCACAATCGAGATCGAAATGCTTGGTGCGAACGGGGTATAATGCTTTACCTACTGTATTTTTCTCTTCTGTATACCATTCGATCCGGCAAGTCATCCTGAGTAAATCGGTGGGCAATTTATTTATCTGGGTTAATTAGGGGGAGTAATTGGATCTTTAACTTTTGGATTTTCTGTGAATCTAGCGGTAGGGGGTTGAATTCTTTGGTGCGGGCACTAGGAGTTTTTACATAGGGTGGAGTAATATACTAATTCTATAAGTGGGATTGGAGAGGTTCATTATTAGCTGAGTTACAGTAATTTTAATTTCGCTTTATCTCTTAATATGGGATTTTCAAATTTTCGAGATTTCCGTTACCAACGTATTTTCGACGGCCATTAACGGTCCTAACCGTCATCCCAACAGTTTTAATAAATTAATTAATAGCTTGAACTTTGTGATATGACAAAACACATTAATCTTTCAATAACTCCTTTTATTTTTGTAGGCAACCAGGAATTTGATGATAATACTAAAATAGGAAATAAAATATTACCTCTGATTATTCAGCTTCCTTTTCTGACAGTTCATTAATTAAGTGGTACAGTTCTCTGAACACTGGGAGTTCGGTCCTGAGTTTCCACCGAGCAAAGAGAGGTCGGCCACGTATAGTTTTCTGGGTGTATGACGCCTGAATAGCGGCCAGTTTTTCTTAAAGAACTCTCGAAAGGCCTTATTTTCTCGTGCTCAAGTGTGGCCAAACAGACACGAAAGCTTCGGATGGCTCATCGAACGCATGCGTCCATCATCATTTTTTTTTTGAGTCATAGTCTCAAATGCTGCATACTCCATATGAACAGAGAATAGAGTAGAATAGACAGAAAGTAGTTCGTTACTATAAAAGTCATAACAAAACACACAAGATACAAATAACTGTATAATACAAGCATAGAAATACTACCAAAAACCATTGTCGAATTGTCCTTCAAGACGAATGATTTGAACAGTTGATCGATTTCAATTCCACATTCTGTTGGAACATAGAAAGTTACGATTTCTGTTTTTTATTTACTTTCAGTTTTTAAGAAAAAATTAAGCTATTTGAGTTATAACTTTCCTGGCTTTCATACATAACAGAGAAAAGCATGGAAAGTGCAGCAAAAATGACTCCTCTAACATTTTTATTTTATTTTTAACTTAGAACACATTGAAACGTCGAGAAATGCAAAAACATTCAAGTGTAATTACTATATATATAGATGTTAACGTGTGAGGGGGAGCCACGATTATTTGCATCCCTTTCTAAGCTTGAACTAAGTAACTAAGAAGAAATTTTTTAAAAAATCACTCCTGTGCTTTTTGTTTAAATTTTCTGAAATTTTGCAAAGAAATTTGCGTATTAAAAACGATGCTATTAAATTTTTATACTTAAATGTTTAGATGGGCAGATAATAGGGGTCGTGTGTATCTCCAGTAGGTTTGGACTTAATGGCGATTTTACTCGTTATTAGCATTTACAATGTTTTATAAAACGCAACCATGCCCTCTAAATTACGCTTTATGCCATTTTATAACAGTTAATAATATAAGAATTTTTAAAATAAAATATAACAGATGAAGCCATCAAAATTTTAAATGTTGCGGAGAAAGTTCAGCAATTCATGTATTTAGTAAAAATAAAAATTATTACATCATAGTTGTAAACTTTATAATTCATTATTTCTCATTAGCATAACACCCAATATATGATATATGTTTTCGTATTATCAGTTTTAATTATTAATACATAATTTATTTTTACATGTACGAGTTAATGTATACACACTGCAGAAGAGTACATAATGTTTCTTCATTTTCAAACAAACTCAATTTATAAAACAATAATTACGATTACTTCTCGTTAAGAATTTACAAAAATCAGTACCTCAATGCGAGAAAATCATATTTTCGATAAAACATATCGTGCTACAACCAACAGACTGCCGAAAATCTATCGGGCTAGTTTTATGCTACTTATTAGATAAATTACGTAATCAATTTGGTACTAGAGGTAAGCGTTAGGCGCCATCTCTTATTAATATTAATAATTATAAATAATTTTAATTAATTTAAATAATTTGGAACCGCTGGGAGAAAAAATCGGCCCGGAGCGGGACTCGAACCCACAACTCCTGCTTACCGTGCAGATGCGTTGCCAGTTACGCTACCCGGACCTCCGATCCGATCTCCTCTTCCAGCGTATATAATCTAACTACTTAACCATCGACGGTTATTACAACGCCGGCTGGGGACACATTCAGTGCCCACGTCCTACTTCCCATACGGCTCTCAACCGGCCATCGCAAGCCCCGGCAAGGCGTAATATATATACAAACATCTCCAACCCGATATATAATTATAGCTACAACCAACAGACTGCCGAAAATCTATCGGGCTAGTTTTATGCTACTTATTAGATAAATTACGTAATCAATTTGGTACTAGAGGTAAGCGTTAGGCGCCATCTCTTATTAATATTAATAATTATAAATAATTTTAATTAATTTAAATAATTTGGAACCGCTGGGAGAAAAAATCGGCCCGGAGCGGGACTCGAACCCACAACTCCTGCTTACCGTGCAGATGCGTTGCCAGTTACGCTACCCGGACCTCCGATCCGATCTCCTCTTCCAGCGTATATAATCTAACTACTTAACCATCGACGGTTATTACAAC